AGAGGGTAGGAGGGAGAGGCTGGATCCCAGGACTCTGGCCAGACACCAGCCTCTGCTCCGCTCTCACGATGGCATCTCCCTGTGCTGTGCCCCCGAGAGCGCGGCGGGCCCAGCTGCTGGTCGCCAGTGTTGTGTTGTATTGGGTTTCCTGGAGCAGGGCCACTCTATATGCCAAGGGCTGGGGCTTCCTGAAAAGGTGGGATCGATGGGGATCAGTGGGCGGCAATCAGCCATCTCTCTGCCACTGCACACGACATACACTACACCACGCAAGTTGTTTATCGACCTTGTCACTGCACGCACACAACTGGCTGTCAGTCTGCTGACTTTAGAGGTCGCGATTTAGCTTTGATCTGCTCTAGGAAATGAAACTAGCTGGTGCTAGAAGCTTGCAGGTCCCCCATAAAAGATACGCAGCCACTCCACTTTACAGTAGTAAGCGCTCCGGGACGCTACCCGGTGCGAAGAGCGCGACATAAATGCAAGTTGTTGTTGTCGAGACTTTGTTAGGACGTCAAATGCAAGGATTATAATAAAGAGGAAGGAGCGGCAGGGCAGAGCGAGTGGAAGGGGGCAAAAGAAAGGGGGATGGGGAAGGAAAAAAGAGCGAGGAGAAGGACGAAAAGAGGGAAACAAGGAAAATAATAATAATCCTTGCATTTGATGTAGTGCCTTATCACGTCTTTGAGACGTCTCAAAGCGCTTCACAGAATATACTGTATAGTGAATTGACTGTGTATTTTGTGGGAGAATCGCAGCAGCCAATTGTACACAGCAGTGTCCTACAAACAGTCATAGATTGAAGTGATCAAATTATTATATTAATTTTTGAAGGAATTATTATCCCCGGAAAAGTGATCCAACAATCAACTAACAACTGAGTTCCTACTTACAGCTAGGTAAACAGAGACTTGTGGAGTAAGGAAACTTGCCCAATGTTTCGCCCTGCTGGAAATCTAACCCAGGTCTCTCACTTACGAGGCGAGTGCTCTAACTACTGAGTTACAGGACTCTACAAAAATATTTATTGTGGGGCAATTTTAAGTTGTTATATTGCAACATTTGGAATAAATATTATACACTCAATACTTAACCCAAATATACCAACATCAACACATCAGTAAATATTTTAACAATTTTCAGATTTTTCTTGATGCTGAAATATCCTGGATTTTTTTTTAATAATGACATCCAGATATTAAGATGTACTTTATTACTGTTATGTTTATTTGAGTGCACTCTTTAAATGTTTACTTTTTAAAAAATATAACTTTGGATTATCAGCCTGATTCAGCTGGCAGCAATCTTGCCTCTTGAATCAGAAAACCATAGCAGAATTTTGAGCTCAAAATCCAGGCTGACATTTCCACACAGTGCTAGGAGGCGCTACAATATAGGAGGCCCCATCCTTAAGGTCCTGAGGTCTGCTTGTTGAGGCGGGCTGTAAATATTCCATTCACTACTCAAAAAGAGAAGGATGTTTTTCCCACATCCTGGCCAAGTGGATTGACGCTGTATTTTGTGAGCGAATGTTACATTCATAGAATAAATTTAGACTCGGGTGGAATTTCTTCCCAGTAACTTAGTAAATGACTAACTTGTAGAAAGATTAAACCTATTTTACAGCTCTGTAAATTGTGAGAGAAAAAATAAATTAAAGTAACAACAATCAAATGCTTCACTAACAAGCTTCAATGCAAGGAAGTTTGCAACTTTTGCAACTCGACGTTGGTGCATTATGAAAGAAATCAAACAGTGGCAAAGCATTGCCATTGTATTTAATTAAAAAGACAGTACACTACATACTCTCATGCATGTACAATGAATCTGGATATTCTATAGTCACTTATGGTGCAACATCAGTGTTACTGATTAAAACCTATTCTTTACCTTTCTTCCTCTCAGCTCCCACATTCCATTTTGGAAAGTGGAAAGAACATTTATAAGATAATATTTCACAGTCTCATAACTTGTTTTGGAGCCAATCAAAAGCATCAAAGAAGTCGCCAATCAACATCTGACCTAATATTTTCAATCCAGGAACATAAATGTGAATCAGCAGGCTACACAGAGAAACTTCATCCCATTTCTACATAAGACAACAATGCCCTTAGGGTACCAGGGTCAATGTTTTCATAAGAAACTGTTTGTTTACATACACATGACATGTTACGGACAATACATCATTAATAACACCAGAGTAACACCATTGTGAAAAAAATGATACATTGCTTTTCTGGCTCCGTTTCACCAACCAAATAACAGTTTGTTGAACATTTTTTCATGAGGACAGAATTGCTCTAAAGCAATTTGTTCAAAACCACTCAAAGCTGTGTATTTAATGCTTTTGAAACAAAACTGCATTAATTAACTAAACATTTCAGTCTTTGTATTCTACTGCATTTAGTTCTATAGATTGAATAAAACATCAGATCATAAAAAAGTTTCATCAGTAGTTTGCACACAGACTCAAAAATACAAGAAGCTTGCTTGCACATAACCTGTAGCACTGCTCTCAATGTGTTCAGCTGCAGGCTACTAAAGATTCAATCTACCGATCATATTACCTGCAACAAAAGATCCTGAACTAGAATAACAGCTGCAATAGTATGGAGCCTTTGTGATCCACAATGGGAGCAAAGCCAACTGATGCACTCATTTTAGAGGCAATGTCATGCTCAAGATGGTGAGTCAGTTGAAAATGTGTTGCATGGGGCAAGCCAAAAAAAAACAGGATATTGTATCAGATAATATGCATCGACTTTGCTGATCCATTGTGGGTCTCTCACTGTCACACAAACACAATAACATCACTTAGATTTGCTACCTGCAAACTCTTCATAAGATAATGCGGAAAGAAAGGAGAATTATAAATATGCTAGAGGACTCAAAAGGGAAGATGGAAAGATTAAGGGAAAATGAGAAAAACACTGATGGGCATTTTTAAAAAATGCAGAAAGCAATGGGAAAAGTAAAGGCAACGACAGTTTATTTTCTAAATTATATATTTATTGTAATTATGCATTTCTTATAACACAAATAAGTAAAATAGCAAAAGCAAACTAATACACACACCCAAATACAAGCCAATAAAACGCTTACAACAATTTAAGTATTTCTCAAAATTGATAAATATCACTTTGTTTTAAAGAAACAGATTCCTGCATCCTCTATAAAATGATTAAGTCCAGGCATTCCTCCATTATCTGGACCTTTTTTGTAATTTTTTTTCCAAAGTCAAGTACTTGCAGTATTTCTCTCAGATATTAATTGGAATGTCCATCCCACGGTCCCTTCACCTCGCTTCCTCCCTTGCATCCTTCAGGCCCAGTCTCAAGACCTTCTCTTCGATCATGCCTTTGGTCTCCCTCCCATCTCTCTGCCTTCCCTCACCCCTACACTACCCCTCCCCCATGCTCGGGCCCCGACACCTGACTGTTCAGCGCTTTGGGATGTCCTCCTGACATGAAAGGTGATCTATAAATGTAATTTTGTTGTTGTTGAATATTGAATGACAATGAATCTAAGGTGTCCCAATCTGGCCTCTTCAGATTTTCAATACAGTTGAGTGTTTGTCTCTCTAATCACTAATACAGTACAGTCAGTATTCTGGCATTAACTTTAAGCACTTTTACTTTTAACTTAAAATAACACTATTATTGGTAACATCCGAACACAATCCTTGTGCACAGAAGTATATTCGTACCAATAGTTGTAATAAACAGTGCCTTCCTCCCACTTCACTGCTATTCTTGCATCAGTGAGTATTTCTCACCTCAATGCAGTATTTAATACAGTTCCAAGCATTTTCTATTCAGGAAATTTGCTTCTTGCTGCAGTCATTGTTCCTTTTTATGCCGTGTCTGTTTTCTTTTCATCTACTCTTGCTGTTACCAACCAGTTATCAATTGAATGTTCTTCATCAATTCTTTTACTCATGTAAGAGCTTTCTGAACCTCTCAGTTACTCTTTCTCTCTGCTTGTGCCGCTCCCAATGACTGACCACCTCAAGTCTCCCCTTAATCGCTTTAATATCTTTACCTGCAGCTTCTTTGCTACTGAAAATTGGGTTGAAATTTGCAGCAATTCATAACAGATTCAAATGTGATAATTATCTGTTATGAAACACTGTACATTTCACTCTATTCTCTGTCTGTTTCATACCCACAAATTGTCAGAACTGATGTTTAAAAATAATCTTTAAGTTACAATTTAATTTACTTTATGAAAGATGTCGCAGTAAGTAGTGTGAACCTGGTAACACAATGGCACAATCCAAATAAATGAATCAAACATGCACTGCCACAGTAATCAACACTGCAATAATTAACTGCTATAACATTTGGCAATGGAAAGGTAAAAAAAAGTAACAATCTTAATTTATGCCATAAATTCTGCAAATTATGAGATGTTATTTTGTCGGGTGCACTTCTCAAGTTACAATTTGCAAGAATAAAAACTATATTTCATCCACATTCACTGCATTTTAACACCGCCATTTCCTTTGCTCAGTAAAACCCTGGCCAATTTCTTGCCTACTACCCTACTCCCCCATTATCGGCAGGCGGGCATTCAAACATTCTACTTATACTCCCTGGAACTTCATCCCAGAGTCCCTTCGAATAACTCCCTTTTTTCCCTCATTCAAGGCCTGTCTCAAGACCACACTTTCGGTCACTTTTCACTTCCCCACCTCAAACTTGGGTGCCCAGTTAGCAGTTTCAAGTACTTTGAGATGTCCCCCGAACGTGATTGCTCTTTATAAATGTAAATTGCATTTGGTGGATCATCTTAACTTTTGTCTATTTTTTATTCCTTTATTTTGCTACTTTTTAAAAAGTATCTCTGATCTGACCTTATTCACTCTACTTTTATTTAAACCCTCTCTCATTTTCATGTTTATTTTTGTACCGTTTAAATTTCATTTTTTGTTTTTGGCCGAAGACCTGAACCAAGACACTGGTCAATGTGATATTGATACGTAAAGTAAATGAACAAACCTGAAAGAGTGATCTCCTCTCCAATAACCTGTTCTTCTACGACATCCAGTGAACTGTCATTAATCATCCCATTAGTTTCTTCATCACAAGCAAGGCCGGAATAGTCCTGGAGCAGATCTGCATTGGGGACGTGCTCCACGATGACAGCAGGAAAAATGGAAGGGTCGCCAAGCTGCAGAAAGCAAACAGATGGATCGCTAAAGCCTTAGTACTTCAAATTTGTTCTTATCATTACAGACAAGGTTGGGGAGGGAGTGGGTGTGGGTGGGGGCACTTTGAGTGAAGGCAATTACGTAGACGATTGTAAGATTCATGTTTGTACCTCATGTTGCAACAAGGAGATGTAAGTGTTCAGGTCTTGTGGTCACAGGTTAGACAAGTGGCTGTAGTTCCAACCTCACACAAAATCCAGAGTCAATAATACATCAACTTATAAAAGTTAAAAGTTCACATCCTGAAATATATCATTTGCCAAAAACTTGAATTGGAATTCCAGTGACTCTTAACTGCGTCAAGTGGCCATATTTACTTAGTCAGCTGTTTGATAAGAAATGTTCCCTATTCAAGGCCAAGCAGATGGCAACTGCTCATGTAACCTGGAGACCCTGATTATCATAATCAGGTCCTGAGCACATTCCTTCTGCTAGACTCATTAAAAAAAATAACCTGCAGTGATGGGTGGATGGTAGGGTGGGTGTTCTGGAGGAATGAGATCAGATGGGCTGAAGGGTCTTTTTCATCCAGACCAATCTTGTGGTTTTGTGAAACTGAGATCTTGTCTTGTTTAGATGGATGTTAAAGAACTCTTGACATAATTCTAAAACAGAGGGGAGTTTCCCCTGGTGTCCACGCCAGCAATTCTCCAGTTCAATTGGTCACGTACCTGCTGTCTGTTCATGGGACACCAAATTTGGCTATGTATAAATTGACTGCTGTGTTTGCCTACAAATACTTAGTCCCTGCACTTTGAAACATTTCAATGTGATAAAGCGCTATATCAGTTGGTAGCACTCTCTTCTCCAAGTCAGAAGACTGTGGGTTCAAGACCCACTTCAAACTGAAAGTCTAGGCTGACATTTCAATATAGTGCTGGAGATGCGTTGCACTGTCAGTATCTTATTCTTATCCTCTTCACCCTAACGTTTTGTTTTTAAAAAAAATTTGGCCTGCATTTTTCCACCCAACATTCGTCTCCTAAAGACATTTGAATTGATCCCTCTGTCCACTAGGTTACTATACTATGGAGACTAGTTTGTCTTTCAATAACTCACAGCCCCTCTGCTCCATTAACTGAGGCTTTTTGCATATCCCCAGCCTAACACATAACAAAATCGGTGGCCAAGCTTTCCAATTCCACAGCCCTTAATTTATTTCCCGCGATTCAAAGCAGTTGATATGTGCGGGAATATTCAAGGATAGGGCAGCAATTATGCGATTAATAAAGATAATGCAAATTTTATTCTAACATGATGATAACTACATAAATAAACTTTTGAGACCTAATTTAAAACTTCTTCAAAGTACATTCAGTTGTCAGGTGATTCTGTAAATCAATTTCATTGCTCCTCAGTTATATACTGGAATTAAGGGCATCATTAATTCCTTCCTTACATTTGTTTACATATGATCTGGATAATGTGCAAAGTATACCGCTACATCTGAACCAGTAGCTTTTTGTCCCTTTTTTTTTCTCAATATAATACTGTGCCATAGAACACATTTTGAGCCATTATTTACCATGCTAGGCACTGCTATAACAATAACCTGAGTATAATAATCGAAGATGCAAGTTTGCATTAAGGCCACTATATTAATGCAAGCTGTTTTTGTTGTTGAATAACAGCTTGCTTATTTTAGCAACCAAAACTATGGAAATGTAACTAAGTGTATCCTATATATTGAATAGTCACCAATTTTCAGTGAGTACAATTTGTGGATATATTTGTCCTTTTTAAAGAGTATATATATTTGTTTCACTTTGTTTCCAGATTGATTTTATATAATAATAATAATAATCCTTGCATTTGATATAGCGCTTTTCACGTCGGGAGGACGTCCCAAAGCGCTTCACATAACACACTGTAAAGTGAATTGACTGTATATTTGTGGGCGAACGCGACAGCCAATTGCGCACAGCAATGTCCCACAAACAGTCGTAGATTGAAGATGACCAATTTATTATTGTTTTTGGTTTTGGAGGGATTATTATTAGGCGTATGGAGTAAGGAAACTTGCCCAAGGTTTCGCCCTGTCTGGAATTGAACTCAGGTCTCTTGCTTGCAAAGCGAGTGCTCTAACCACTGAGCTACAGGACTCCATGAGAGCATATTTTAGATTAAAACTTTAACTGGGAGGATGGGACCAAGCAGGAGTATACATTGAGTTGGTGGCTTGCCACAACGGCTTTGTTTATTCTCCCCTGTAGATGACAAAACAACATGCAGTGCAAATAGGCAGTTTTGCTAGAATTAGTCAGTGCCCTCTAAATATTCAAAATAATGTTCTAAACATAAATATGGCAGAATGTACCTTAAGCAAATATACATTTCCCAGGTCCTTCTGACCTGAATTGTGTAGTGATCTGCCACTTGCATTTTGTTGCTAAATCACTGTTTATAGCATTTCATAACAATAATAACTACTGTTAGCTGATCACCTGCTTGATTTGTTCAAGGGTGAACAGCAACAACATTACAACTTACATTTATGTTATACCTTTCACATATAAAAGACACATATCAAAGTGCTGTACAAAATGAGATTAATTAAAAATGAGGGAATGTTACTTATGTAGGGCAACCCAGCAGCTAAGTTCCGATAGTGTGAGAAATGTCAGATCTATTTTTAATGGGAGGGTTAATTTTATCCTAAGAACAGTAGTGAGATAATAACAATCCTTGCATTTGATATAATGCCTTATCACCTCATTGAGACGTCTCAAAGTGGTTTACAGAATATATTGTAAAGTGGATTGACTGTATTTTATGGGCGAAACGCAGTAGCCAATTGCGCACAGAAGTGTCCCACAAACAGCTGTGGATTGAGTGACCAAATTGTTTTTGGAGGGATTATTATCCCCGGAAAGCAGTCTGCCAATCGACACAGAGGTAAACAGAAGCATGAGGAGTGAGAAAACTTGCCAAAGGTTTTTACTCCCGGGAATTGAACCTGGATCGTCTCGCATGCGAGGCAAGCACGCTAACCACTACTCTACAGGACTCCACAGGAGATTAAATGCCAATTATTTTGAATTTTTTGTGGTGAATTTGGCTGAGGAAGGAATGTAAGGTGGGATATCTGAGAGAAAATTGCCATCTTTCTTTGAATTGGTGGCAAGTGGGTCGGGAAATAGGTAGGGAGGGGAGGGGAGGGCTCTTAATGTCCACCTGATTGCCACCTAGTCCTGAGACAATCAATGGTTAGAGCACTTGCCTCGAAAGCGAGAGATCTGGGTTTGATTCCCGGCAGGGCAAATACTTGGGCAAGTTTCCTTACTCCACACACCTGATATTGATCCCTCAAGAAAAAAAAACAATAATAAGTTGTTCACTTCAATTCACAACTGTTTGTGGGACACTGCTGTGCACAACTGGCTGCCATGTTTTGTCAACAAATGAAGTCAATTCGCTTTACAGTATATTCTGTGAAGCACTTTGAGATGTCTAGAAGACATGAAAAGCACTATATCAAATGCAACAAGATTTATTATTATAGTCTTTCTCAACGTCTCCACTTCTTTTGACACTGTGGACCAAACAATTCCCCTTGAATGCCTCTCCTCCTTCATTCCAATAAAACTTGACCCATTACCTCCCTATGTATATGATCTGCTCGTAACCCATTCCTCTGCTCGTCCCTCCGCTTGGCTAACACAGACCTGCCACATATCCCCCCAGCCACTTCACAAGCCCGTCGGTCACTGAGCTTCCAGACACTCAGCCCCTAACCTCTGGAACTACCTGCCTCTATCCTTCCACCTTGCTCCTTCTCTGTTGTCTTTAAATCCTACCTTAAAAACTATCTCTTTGAAAGTATTTATGGTCACCTCCCACGTCTTCCTGGCTCAGTATCCATTGCGAAGCTTTCTAAGACATTATCATATTTGAAGGGTACTACATGAATACAAGTTATTTTGTTGTTGTTTTGACAAATAAGACCTAAATTAATGGCTTAATCAAAAAGGGGATGATTTGGAAATAAACTTGTATTTAATTTAGAATATTTGTCTCGTCTAAAATACATTTAATGTATGGCATATGTCTTGTTGGGAAGGCAGTGGATAACAGAAATTATTGAATTCAGCTAACAAAATCAGTCCTGTATTGAACATTTATAGCCACTAGGAGGAATGCATATCTGTAACTTTCAGTTAACTTAAAATTTTCGACAGAGGTTCAAGTCCCTTGATGAGACAGTCATACTGTCTATAGTCAGATCTAAGTGAGTTTCATTCTGATTTATCTTATTTTTATAGCTATTATACACTTAGAGCGCCACTGAAACAGCAACTTGAACTTTATCCTGGAATTCCTCATGGCATTGAGAGCAAAAACTATCCCAGCGGGGGGGTGGGGGGGGGGGGGGGAATAGGAATAAGCTATCTATCAGCAGGACTTGGAAGAACTATCAATCTCTGGGGGCAGGGACCCTTCCCATTCAGCTCCCATTAACCTTGTAAATCAAAGCCCTAACTGATAGGTTGGCCCTAGCAATACAAGCAGCAAGAAAGTTTGCTGGATAGTACTTTCAACAGCAAGCTATGCAATTTTAGCTGGTTAGACTCCAGCAATTAGCACAATACACACGCTGGGGTCCCCGAGCCTTGGCTCTTGCCAATTGTGCCTAATGCTCTCCAGAATTAGATTCAGAGCAGAATCAGAGAAGCAGGATGCTTTCCTCCAGGTAGAGAGTGCACATTCCATTCCAATAAATATCTCTGGAATTTCCATGTGTAGTGGGATACATGAAACGCTGGTTTGGATACTTTTAAAGTAATGTGTTTCTGCATATGTCAGACACCCGGCTGGCCAAAAATTGGTTTGTGATTTGTCAAACATTACCTAGAAGTGACTCATTTCACTGCAGCATTGTGTTATGTTATGGGACCACTGGAGTGAAAATATTGCCCTAGAATATTTAAATAATGGGTTTATTTTTGTTTATCTGGGTAAA